AATAATAAAGATGAGAGCTGCAATCAATAAAATTTTAAAAAGAAAGAAAATCAATGAGAACAAAAGCTGGTTCTTTGAGAAGATCAATAAAGATAAACTTTTAGTCAGACAAATCAGGAAAAAAAGACAAAAGACACAATTTTCCAATATCAGGAATGAGAGAGGCAGTATCACTACAGATTTTAAGATCATAAGGAAATATTGTAAGCAGCTTTATACCAGTAAAATCAACAACTTAGATAAAATGAACAAATTCTTTGATAGTCTCAACCTACCAAACCTCAGTGAAAATGAATTAGAAAACCTGAATAGTCCTATATTTATTAAGAAAATTGAATCTGTGGTCAAAAACCTTCCAACAAAGTAAACTCCAGGCCCAGGTGGTTTCACTGGTGAATTCTAGAAACATTTAAGAAAGAAACAATACCAATACTATACACACTCTTGCAGAAAATTAAAAAGGAATACTTCTCAATTCATTCTTTGAGGCCACCACTACCCTGGTAACAAACCAGATAAAACATTACAGAAAAAGAAAACTGCAGACCACATCCCTCATGAGCGCAGATGTAAAAATTCTACATATTTTAGAAATGAATGCCTATATTCATTTTTAACATTTATTTGCTGCCTATGGTTTTTATGATTTCTACCAAATGGCAAGTTATAATGTCTTAACTCTTCAATAACATCTCTAGTTCAAAAGAAAAGTTACAGCAGAGAAAATCCATTTGTTAATTCAGCTAAAGATCAAACATAACACTAAGAAAGCATGTGTCATTTGAAAAAAGAACAGGTGACATTAGGTAAATTTCATTTTTATTAATATATTTAAAAATCAGGGACTAGTATATAACCACAAAGCTATCTATGACAGATAGCCTTCAAGGAAGACCGTCATTAATTCCCCCACTCCCTGTATGTCTATGTTGCTCTTTCCACGAAGCGGTGAAGTCTGCTTTTCTGGGTTGGCCCTGTGTTCAGCTTTGAACATAGAATGTGATCAAAGTGCCAGTTCCAGACCTAGCCTAGAAGATGCCTGGAAGCTTATGCTTTCTCCCTCTTGGAAACCTCACTCT